ATGTTTGTCCTGGAAGCTTGGAAGGAGGGATTGTTTCCTTCTTCCTGAAATTGTCTCTGTAAATATTTCTGTCCTGGGGGGAGGGGGGCTTACACACAGAATCCAGGCAAAATAAAACAAGCAGATGTTCGAGGGTCTCAGCTTCACCTGGACTTTGGAGTCTGAAGTTGTAAGTTATGACGCAGCTGAACATTGACACAGCAGGACTCTTCCACAAAGCATGGACTGTGTTGCCCTTTCAAACACCAATTTATTGAGCATCTATTCTATGCTAGGCCCCATGCTGGGTGATGGGGACACACTGGTGACCACAAGGTCCCTGCTCCCACAGAGCCCTCAGAAGATGGACAGTCAAGGTCTGAGCACACAGTAGGGTATACCACTTCCTTCCCTTGGCTCTTCCTCGTCCCACCCCATAGCACACCCAGGAAATGTCAGTCCTGTGTATCAGCGCGGTTGGTCATCCAGGGATCACAAGTGAAGCAGGTGGAACTCAGGGCTGGACACATTTCCAGTCAATCCATCCATGCCTTCACACACTCTGTGCTGTTTACGCAGCTGCGTCTTGTGCCAGGCCCCAGAGCTGAGTCTGACTAAGCCCTGCCCTCAGGAAGCTGTGCGTCAGGTCCAGGAGGGAGGCAGGCAGGACTTACATTCTTGTCATTCAGGTCTCCATTCAAAGGTCACCTCCTCCAGGAGGCCTTCCTGGATTGTCCTGGAAAGGTGTCCCCTTTTGGTCACCAATCCCACTGCTCCCTTTATTTCTTTCACAGCACTCATTATAGCTGGAATTATTTCATTCACCTGTTTACTTGATAATGACTGTTCGTCCCCGTGAGGACAAGGACTCAGGTACTTGTATTCTAAGCACTTGCTCCAGTGCCTGGCACAGAAACCATCAGCGTATTGTTGAATGAACAAGGAACACAAATCCATCAGTCCGTGCACCACAGACACACCTCAGAGCATCTGAGGACTTTGCCTGAAGGAGTTGGGAGGCTTCTCACACCAAGGGATATTTGGGGGGGGGATGTTAAAGGATAAGTAGGAGTTCGCCAGCTAAAGAAGACAATGCATATCACCATGGCACCTTGAGCTAGTTATTCGAATGCTTTCTGTACTTCAGTTCTCCACTCTGCGGTGAGATACCTGCTTGACTAGACTCTCACCAGGATTGAATGGGCTAATATTCATGAGCAATATGCCTTACACTAGGTACAGAATGAAGATAGCTTTTCAGTATCCTGTAAAGCAGTTTAGTGGGGCTCTCATCACACAGTAGGTCCTTTGGGAGAGGGAGGAATTGGCCACAGGCAGGTCATGCTCTCAGGAAGGTTGTGTGGACTCCGCAGGAGATGGAGAGCCGGGCTGAGTACCCACCGCGAGTCGGCCCGCTCCTGGGTGCTCCCAATCTCTTAGCCGTTGCCCCCCACTGCCCCCCGAAACCCTGGATATTACTGCTTCTGAGCAGAGGAGAGAGGCCTGGTGACCTGTCCTAGGTCACATGCCTACCCAGTGCCAGCAGGGGACTTGGGCACAGATGGTTCAGTTCCAGACCGCACAGCCCAGACCCTGAGACCACAGCTGGGGATAGCCAAATGGAGCCCCCCAGCTGATAAGCCCGAGGCCAAGGGAGAGCGGAAGGGGCTGTGAGTGCCCAGGGACCCAGGGTTGACTCTGCCTGGAGAACTAAGAGAAGGCACCTTGGTGGAGGGACATTTAGGTTGGGCCTTGGAGGATGAGTAAGAGTTCACCAGATAAAGAAGGCTGTGGGGAAAGACAGTCACTCATCAATTGACATCTCCTGAGGACTCCTGTGGGCCCAGCCCAGACGGGTGATTCTGGGGACACAGAGATGAGTCAGACCTGGGCCTGGCTCCTCAGGGGCGCCCAGCTGGTGAGAAGAAATGGGGAAAGAGGCCAGGCGAGAGGGTGATGGGAAGGACAAAGGAGGCAGGGAGGGGAGACATGGGTGGGGAGGATATGGCCAAAGCTCCTGGGACTTGGCAGAGATCAGGTGGCACTAAGAGAGGAGGCAGGGCACGTGGGTCCAGGCAGGTGGGGCACCTGGTCCCTGGGGTGGTGGGGCTGTGGGGAAGGGGGCAGGCTGGGACAGGAGGGGATTAACCGGGCGGGAAACAGGCTCCCCAGCCGTGGAAGGGGCCTCTCTCTTTCTGGGACGGGCTCAAGTCCCCCCGGCAGAGAGGGTTCTGTGCAGTGTGGGGCTCCCTGTGGCCCTGGCCTGCCTGGGGTCTTCTCACTGGCGTCCCCCTCTTGTTCTTCCTCTCTCCCCTGACACTTCGCTCTGCCTGCCTTGGTCCTTCTCCCCCAGCCTAGGCTCTGGGCAGCCACCCAGGGGTGGGTCCAGCGCCCTACTCCGGCTCCCAAAGTCCACTCACCTTCCTCCTGGGATCCTGCCCTAGGTACCCTGCCTCCTCCAGACCTTGAGATTCTGATCCAGATCCTGCAGCCCAAGGTCATGGGGAAGAGCAGCCCCCACTCTGAAGGCCCAGAGGAGCCACCCACATCCCCTCCACAAACCTGCACCCCTTCCCCATTTAGTGGAGTTCTGGTCCAGCTCTCCCAATAGGGGGATCCCCCTGAGCCCACCGCCCCTCCCCAGGTTCCCCCACCCCTAGCACAACCCCAGGGTTTCCCCCTCCCCCAGGGACGTTTCCCAATGCTGATTAATCACAGGGGCGGCCCCGGGGAGGAGGAAGGAGATGCATGGTGTACCTTAAAGAAGCTCCGGCGCCAAGCGCCAGCTGAGGACCCGCACGCCCCGAGGTCATGAAGCTGGGATTCACCTGGGCTCTGCTGTCCCTTCTGGCAGGTGAGCCCACCGCAGCCCTGCTGCCCTCTCGGCTCGGCTCCTGCCCAGCCCCTCTGAGCCGGCCTCCCCGCCCCAGCTCAGGCACCCTGCCTTCTGGGCTCGGCATCCCCTCCCAGGCCCTCCCTTCCCGCCTGCTGCCTGCTGTCCCTGACCCCTCTTGCCCCCACCCCAGGGCAAGGCTGGGCAGACACCCGCACCATCGGGGCGGAGGAGTGTCAACGCAACTCACAGCCCTGGCAGGCTGGCCTGTTCTACCTCACCCGGCTCTTCTGCGGGGCCACTCTCATCAGTGACCGCTGGCTGCTCACAGCTGCCCACTGCCGCAAGCCGTGAGTGCCCCGGACCAGCCACGCTGGCCAGCGGAATGGGGAGCCAGAGAGGGTGGCGGAGGAGGGGCCTCAGGGTGGAGCACAGAGGGACCTCCATTTCTGACCCCAGAAGTCCAACTCTTCATTCCAGAGCCCTAAAACATCCCAGGTTCTAGGAGTCTAAGATTCGAGGCTTTGGCCCGAGAAACCCAGAATCCTAGAGTCTGGAAATCTTGGAGCCTTGATATTCTGGAATCACAGATGCAGAGACTGTTAGAACCTCGGGGGTCTACATCAGCCCATGGAGTAGAAATGTCATGCCAGACACAGGTGTAGCTGAAGTTTTCCAGGAGACACCTTTAAAGAGTAAAAAGAAACAGGCAAATTTGACTTTAATAATAGATTTAATTGGACATACTCAAAATATTGATTCAAAATGTAATAACATTTTAAATACTTATGAATGACATAGCTCACTTTTTTTTTTTAAGTAAAGCTTTGCAATCCAGCATGTATTTTCTACAGATAACACATCTCAATTGGGACAAGCCACATTTCAAGTGCTCAGTGGCAGTGTTGGCTAGTGCAATCCTAGAATCTTAGGTTCCAAGTGTCTTAGGCTCATGGAACATTGAGACTTACAGTCATGGAATCTTTGATTCACAGACACTGATTCCAGAATTCTAGAAGCCTATTTTCATAAACATGTAGAATCAATACCTCAGAATTTGATCATGCCAGAGTCTTAAAAGACAGGGAGCTTAACTCAGAGAGCTTTGAATCTTAAATTCATTGACTCATAGACACTTAATTTCTAAAATCAGGGATTTATGGAATTCTAGAATGATGATATTCTAGGGTTTGGTTTTGTCTTTGGAAGTCTTGGGGATTGAACCCGGGACCTCACACATGCCAGACAAGTGCTCTACCACTGGGCTACAACCCCAGCCCAATCCAGTACTTTTTAACTCACAGAAATATAGGATGTTAGAATCTTGGATCCATAAAATTCTAAAATTGAGCCTCTGAGACTCCTACAACAATAGACAGTGGGTGTTGGGATCTTCAAATTCCAGAATCTTAGATTCTGGGCACTTTAGTAGAATCCTAGGGTCTATGGGATGCAGGCATCTCCATATGCTATCTCTGAACAGAGGCCAACCTGTCTGTTCTAATATCCTCTTCAGGAGAGAAGCAAAAATGCTGGTTCAGGATGCCAGATGGGAATTTCCCATCATGCATTGCTCCACAACGGGGTCTCTCTCTATTGGTCTCTCTCTCTCTCTCTCTCTCTCTCTCTCTCTCCTGAGTATTGAGACCAGGGCCTTATGCATGTGAGGCAAGCACTCTACCAATTGAGCTATATCGCCAGCCCGATGGGGTCTCTTTTAACCCAAGCCTGTACCTCGGAATGGGAGATCAATGTTTAGATTCAGCCCCAAAGACAAAAAAAGAGAGAGGCAGATAAAAGGGATTCAGAGGCAAAGATGGGGGTGTAGGGGATAACTTCCCCAACACAGAGTCAAGACCACGAGGGTGGAGAGGGAGACAGAGACAGAAATACCAGCTCATACTCCCTAAATCCCAAATTCTCAGTCATGAGTCTAGGGCCTAAGTCAGGGGTCAGAGATGGGGGATGAACATGTGGACCCCTAAAGGGCCCCCACCTGTTCAGAGCATGGACCTAGACTAGAACAGGTGGGCTGGGACTACAGCAAGAGGACTTAAGGTTAGGTCTCAAGAAGGCCTGCCTAGGGCTGGGGATATAGCTCAGTTGGTAGAGTGCTTGTCTCACATGCACAAAGTCCTGGGTTCAATCCCCAGCACCACAAAAAAAAAAAAAGAAGAAGAAGAAGAAGAAGAAGAAGTAGAACTGACTTGCAGGGTAAAGAATATGACAGCAAAAGCCCAAGGCCATGGGATGATCCCCAATTTGGGGACTTTCCATATTTCATCTCTCTCCATACACATACATCTCAAAACATACCTAGAGCCACTCCCACACAAGTCAACAGCCCTGTGGGCACAGGAGGTGGGGTTGTTATTGTTCGGTTCTAATTGTGTGGTCTACAAGGTTCCAGGGGACCCAGGTCACCACTGGAACTCTAGGTGGGGCAGGAAGGACAGTGGCTCACTCAGCATGGTAGGCTATGAAGGGGAACCGTTGGGGGAGGGCTACACAAGCAGAGGGAGACAGAAAGTCGAGCTGGAAGCAGAAACCCAGAAAGGGTGCATGGCTTGTGGAGGGTCACAGAGTATCCGGATGGAGAGAAAAAGAGAACTGAGGCTGATTGACTCCCCCCCACCACTTCCCTCTAACGTGACTTCTGAAGTCTGTCCCAGCAGGTACCTGTGGGTGCGCCTTGGGGAGCACCACCTCTGGCAGTGGGAGGGTCCAGAGCAGCTGTTCCGGGTCACAGACTTCTTCCCCCACCCGGGGTTCAATGAGGACCTCAGTGCCAATGACCACAACGATGACATCATGCTAATCCGTCTGCCCAGGCGGGCACGCCTGGGTCCTGCTGTGCAGCCCCTCAGCCTCAGCCAGACCTACCTTGCCCCAGGCACTCAGTGCTTCATCTCAGGCTGGGGGGCAGTGTCTAGCCCCAAGGGTATGGCCTTCCTTGCCTGTGACACAGCCCCTGGGTCTCAGGCCCAGGGCTGGGCTCCCTGCCCCGGTCTCTGCCTTTTCTCCTCTGTTCTCTCCCCCGTTCACCTATCTATTCATCAAATCTAAAATGCTATAAAGTTTAAGAAGCATAATTATTTTATGAACTGCTAAGAATGGAAAAAAGTACAGTTGACTGTTTGACCTCACGGACTGGAGAACACATCCCGGTTCCACAGTCATTTCAATGTGAACATCTGTGCATCTTAGAATTGCAATCAAACCTCCATCTCACTCACACTGGCAACCATTAGCCACATTTGGCTTTTCATGTTAGTGTTAGTTTCCCAAGTGTCTTTAAAACAAATCAGTCTGAATTTGTTGCTGCCAACATCTAAAAACGGGGACACTTTAGAAAGCCAGATTTCTGGATTTGCTTGAAATTTTAAGGAACTGATAACAGTTGCCCACATCCCAAGAATAGTACCCTGGGCAGAGTGAGTAGAGGCTGCCCTCTTCAGACAAGATATGGGTTCGCTGCACTCCACCCCTCTGGCTGCCCGCCAGCTGCACAGTCCCCACGGGGACTTGTATTTACCCAGCAAGTCCCCTGAGCACCTGATTTGTAGCTCTGTGTCACATACATTCTACATGCATATCTGTATCCCTGTCTGTCTCTCTTGGACGGGCTGTAGCTTACCTCGAGCTTTATGCAGTATCTCTATGTGTGTCTCTGTCTCTGTCAGTGACCGTCTGTCCCCTCCCTATTGCCCTGCTCCCCTCCCATGTCTCTGGGTCTCCTCTGAGAATCTCCCTTTAAAGAGCCTCTACCTCCCTCCACGGTTTATTTCCCTCCAAGTGAGTGATGCACAGCTCTCGTCTCTTTCTCTCTGCAGCTTCCTCTGTCTTTCTCTTGCTCTTGGTCTCTCTCCCCTCCATCCCTCTGTTTCTCTTACATCTGTGACTGTCTATGTCTCCATCTCTTGTCTCCATCCTTGAGTCTTATGATGTGCTTCTGTGGGTTCTCCAGTGGAAAGGCTTCAGAGAAGACTCAGGAAGGGGAATTGCTGGACTAGCAGCTCATTTTCTGTGGCTTTCTTTCCTAAACAGTGCGGTATCCACTCACGCTGCAGTGTGCCAACATCAGCATCCTGGATGCCAAACTCTGTCACTGGGCTTATCCAGGCCACATCTCAGACAGCATGATATGTGCCGGCCTGTGGGAGGGGGGCCGAGGCTCCTGCCAGGTAAGACCCTGCTGTGGGGAGGAGGCCATAGGCCTGATCTTGGGGGAGGAGACAACTGGAACCCCAGACCCCCACCCCAGCTCCCAGGAGACTGGGAGGTGGGGAGGGGGCACTGAGTCCTGGGGAAGGAGAGGGCTAGGAGCTCAGAATGCCAGGTCTTGGGGAGAGATGGGTCTCTGAGCTTTTCCTCTTGTGTCTGAGAGAGGAAAGACTGGAGACCTGGACAGTTGAGGACTCTGGGGGACTTCCCAGAAAGAGGAAGTGGCCAATGTAATTGTCATGAATAGACTGGCGTTAACAGTTTCTCTGCTCTTCTCTCGTGCACAGGGTGACTCTGGGGGACCCCTGGTTTGCAATGGGACCCTTGCAGGCGTGGTGTCTGGAGGCGCTGAGCCCTGCTCCAGACCCCGGCGTCCCACTGTCTTTACTAGCGTACGCCACTACGTGGACTGGATTCGAAAAACCATGGAGGAAAACTGAACCCTCAAGCTAAGGTCGACTGTGCGAGAACGCGAGTTCCTGCAGGGATCCAGCCACGACCGTCACCGTTCAGACTAAGCCCTGACACTGAGGCTGTGCGCTCCCTCAGGCTCCGCCCCCGCGCTTAAACCGCGGTGTAGCCACACCCCCTCGGAAAGGCGCAGGGACACCCGTCCGCATCTCTTGGCCAAGTCTCTATGACGTCACAAAGAACGGACACCATCCCCTGGAACTGCCCCACCGTGTGGCTCCGCCCTAAGGAACATCTTCAACTAAGTAGCCCCTCCCCTCCGAACTTTTCCCAGTGGGACTTCACCTCTGGGCCCCGCCTCCGCCGCCAGCGATTCCGCCCCCCATGACGTCAGTGGCTCTGTAGCCCCGCCCACGTGAAATTCAGTCCTGCTGGGCTCCGCCCCTCGCGGCCCTGCCCTGGGCGTGTCCTGGGTTTGAATCCTGGCGCGGACCCGACTGGGAGAAGTTGGGGGTCTCGGTCCTTTCAGAGCCGAGGGATGATTTTACAATAAAGCGGGGAGCCGCGCCTTCCATCTGCCTGTGCTGTGGAATGAGGGGGGCACTGATGGGGGGCGAAGGGCAGATGAGGGCTCCGCCACCGAGTTGCACATACCCCTAGTAAGTCCTGCCTGACGTCGGTCTCCATCGTCTCCATTGCAGCAGGGCTGAGTTCTGCTTGGGCTGGTCCCGCCACCCCCAGGGTAAGGGGAAACCAGGTCACGGTGCTTCCCAAACCTGCCTTCCCAGATCCCGCACCTCTCGGGGCCGCGGGCGGGCCCGGTCCGCCCTCAGCACTCCGAATCCAGAAGACCCGCCTTTCTTCCGGGTGATCGAAGCAGCCCCCTCCTCCCACAAGAATCAGGTTCCAAGCCCCTCCCTCCAAAAAGAGGAGAATTCAGCCCCAGCACTTCCTCTGACCCTGGAACGCAGACCCCAGCCCTCCTCCCTCGGACCCGGGGGTCCCCGCCCCAGCATTGAGCACCCCTCTCCATTTCCTCAGTTCAAGATTCCAGCCCCGTCCCCAAGACTTCGGTTCAGCCCCCACCCGCCCCTCTTCACACACACCCTAGGTTCCCTGATGCGTCCCCAGCTCAGATGCGGGAGGAGGCGGAGCAGGGGGCGGGGATTCCCAGTTAAAAGGCTGAAGAATCGTGTACCAGGCAGACAGAACTGAAGTACCGGGGCCTCTTCCTCTGAGCCCGAAATCAGTAGGTGACCCCGCCCCCTGGATTCTGGAAGGTGAGGTGCAGAGGTATTCAGACACTGACCTCAGGCCCAGGGATCCCTCCCCGCCAGGCCTCAGGACCCCAGCCTCAGACCCTCCTCCCTCCAGTCCCAGCAATCCGACCCCAACTCCCACTTCCCCGGACTCAGAGTCCCACTCCCAGGTCCTTCTCTCCTCAGACCCAGAAGTCCAGGAGCAGAATTCCCTCCTCCCTCGGAATGCAGGAATCTAGTTCCCCAGCCTCACCCGGCCCGATACTTAGCTTTGGAAATTTGGGCTCCTGTCCCCTTCTTCCTCAGACTCAAGAATCTGGATCCCCAGCTCCTTCCTGGTACAGGACTCACAACAGCCCAACTGCTCCCGATCCTCTGGCTCCCTCCCCAGCCCCAAAATTTCAGGCTCCTCCCTTCTGTCTCAGCCCCACCCTCTCCCTCCCTCAGACACCATGGGACGCCCCCCACCCCTTGCAGCTCTTTACTGGAGGATCCTGCTCTTGCTGCTGGGAGCCTGGGCAGGTAGGGGGACCGGGAGGACTCTGAAGGGAGGGGGCAGAAGGCCGCAGTGGTGCTGGGAGCCTGGGTGAAAGCTGGGTGGGTATGTGGGTGCGTGTGGCGGTGTGGGGCGTGTGAAGCGTGTGACTTGGTGTGGGAGCCTCTGTGGGCCTCCTGGGTGTGGGTGGAGGTGTGGAAGACACCGCAGGCTTGGGAGTGGGTTCAGTTCTGCTGAAAATGGCATCAGTACTCAGGGGGGCGCCTGCACAGACACACGTGGGAGTATCGTATGAGGATCTGTGTGAATGCATGCGGACGCACACTTGGCTATGTGACTCACGATGACTTGGGACCGTCAGTGAGCGAGCACGCGGAGGACTGGCCGTGTGTCCGTTTGAACCCACAGTGGTTGTCCTGGCCCGGGCACTGACCCCGAGGGTGGAGATCCAACCCTGTCCCTCCTGCCGCAGGCTGCACCAAGGCACAGGGGTCCAAGATCCTGGAGGGCCAGGAGTGTGAAGCCCACTCTCAGCCCTGGCAGGCGGCCTTGTTCCAGGGCCAGCGACTGCTCTGCGGGGCTGTCCTTGTTGGTGCCAACTGGATCCTCACAGCTGCCCACTGTAAAAAAATGTGAGTGGATCTCTGGGGCAGAGGCAGGCTGGGGTCTGAGGGGGTTTAGGCCTTCGCTCAGGAAGAAAGCTGGACCCCTGGTCTGACGGAAGAGGGCTGGGGTCTGGACTCTGGGTCCTGAGGGAGGAGATGCTGGGTGCCCCAGTCCTCAGGTGCTCCTGCCTGGGTTCCAAGCTACCTCCTACCACTTACAGGAAGTACACAGTGCGACTGGGTGACCACAGCCTGCAGAGTAAAGACGGGCCCGAGCAGGAAATCACAGTGGCTCAGTCCATCCAACACCCCTGCTACAACAGCAGCGACATGGATGACCACAGTCACGATCTGATGCTCATCCGACTACGTGGTCGAGCATCCCTGGGGCCCAAAGTGAAGCCCATCAACCTGGCGGATAAATGCGCCCATGTGGGCCAGAAGTGCACTATATCGGGCTGGGGCACTGTCACCAGCCCCCGAGGTAGTGGGCTTGGCCACTACTGGGAGGGAGAAGAGGAGCTATTGGCCCAGTGGACGCTGAGCCATGGGCAAGGCACAGCTCCCACAGAAGATAAAGAAGGGAAAGTGATGTGTGATGTTGAGATTCACCAGAGGTCCATACTGGAAACCTTGAAGGCCAGACAGGAGTGGTGAGGGAAAGAGAGTCAACAGATCATTAAGCAGGGCTCGAAAAACAAACCCAAAAGCCCTCTTTTTGGTAGATACACCATCTCATGAAAACTTTCATTGTATATGATTTCATATAATCTTCATAACAGACCTGGGATATATGGGCTCTGCAGGAGCCCAGGAAAGCAGGCTCCTCAGTCCCTTCCCTGTAGAACCCAGGAAACGAATTTATACCCTCCCCCGCCCCCGCCAGCACTCAGTGGTCCAGGTCCCTAGTTCCCTTCTTACTCTTGGTCCAAAAGTCTGGACCTCCATTAAAGGCATCCTTTTGGGACTTCAGAATCTAGACAGACCCTTGCCTTACTTCATAGTGGAAAATAAAAGTTGGGGCTCAGCTCTCAGAAGCAATAGGATCCTCCAGGAAGTGGCAAAGCAGGATTCAGGTCCCTGCATGCCTGACTCCTGATGCAGATGAGATGTTGTATTGCTGCAGAAACACATCTGCTCATGAATCTACCTAAACCACAGCTCTGCCCCTTTACCTGGGGAAGTCCCTTTCCATCTCCCAGCCTCCCTTTCTTCATCTGCAAGTTGAGAATCATCATCCAAGAGACTCCCTTCAGCTCCACAAGGCCTTAGGTTACATCTGTTTTCTCCATTGTGTGTTCTGAGTGTTTGGGATGGTGACTGGTACATAGAAGGTGCTCAACAAGTATTTGTTGAACAATTGAGGTAACAAGAAAATGAAGGAATGTGTCTGTCCTTCAAAGACCTGCTGTGGTTACATGAGATTGTGAGCATTTCACTCTAGCACAGAAAATTTTTTTCTTATGTTTATTCTTCAAAGGAGATTAAAGAGAAAGATGAATTCCACTTTCAAGTATTAATTCAACACTTATTTATTGAGCATCTAGCATGCCCCAAGGTGCTATCGTAGGCATTGGGGATTCAATCATGAACAAACCATAGCACCCTGTCCTTATGGAGTTGCATTGCCAGGTGAGGGAAATAGAGAGTAAGCAAATACACATAAAATAAAATATCAGGTAGAGTTAAGAGCTGTAATTAAATAATGTGGAGGGTAAATGTAGGGAGCGGTAGAGGGGTGGCATTTTAATTAGAGGAGCCAGGAAATGTTTCTAGGAAAGAGTGACATTTGGAAAGTGGAATTATCTAAAATTGAGCCCTCCCCCCTCCCCCCTATTGGTCTGAGGGCAAGAAGACTAGCTAAGAGGGTCAGAGGTGTCTTAAGGAGACATCACACCCCCTTTCCCCCCAGTCACCTGCCTTTCGATTTGAAAATGACTTAGGACAAGATAAGATCAGAGAGCCACTCTCTAGATGGATAAAGACACGTCTGTGGTATTATTTGCAGTTTCCTTTAATGTATCTAGAACATGGGCCCAGCAGAATGTTCTAGAAAACTCCTTCAGAGCAGCTTCCAGTGAACAAAGTGGGGGTTAGATCCAGATGGGAATGGAAAGAAAGGGTTGCTCTCTTACCACCTCTTTCTCCTCAGAGAACTTTCCTGATACCCTCAACTGCGCAGAAGTGCAAATCTTTTCCCAGAACAAGTGCGAGGCTGCCTACCCAGGGCAGGTCTCAGATGGCATGCTTTGCGCGGGCAACAGCAACGGGGCTGACACCTGCCAGGTGAGTGACTTCTGAGATCTCCTCCCTCATCTCGCAGGCCCCTCAGGAGTTCCAGTCTTGAGAAGGGGACTCCAAGGAATTAGTACCCAGAGAGGTTGCCCCAACCCCTGCTGAGTGGGAAGGAGGCACACAGGAAGCCAAACTCCCAGTCGAGGTCACAGGGCATAGGAATCAGGAGTATTGGATGTGACTGTCATCCTCTTAGGAACCCTTGCCTGCAGGATGACCTGCCGGGAGGGACGCTCTAGACAATTAGGGAGACGTCCTCGAAGGGGACAGAGTCTGGCTGGAGGTTAGGCAGGCTCCCTGCGCCCTCCCGGTGCCAGGAATCTGCTGGCACCAGCCACTTCCCTCCCCTACCTCCTGGGTCCCCTGGGATGGCTCCCTTCTCCTCTGATTGCTTCCGTGCGGAGCAAGGCTGCCTCGCCAGGTGGCCAGGGAACGTTGGCTTCGACTTTGCTGCCTCATCAGTAAGCTCCCATCCCCTTTCCTGGGGCCTTTTTTCCCCTGTTGGCTGTAACTGCTCCGGGGTGCTCCAGGGTCCCCTGGCTTTGACTCCTTCATGGAAGCTCCACCCCCGTCGCTACTGATTGGTCCCTGAAGACAATGCTCTCTTCCTCATTGGCCAAAAATGAAGTCATTTCCACGGGTCAGGGGTTTCTTCCCCGGGGATCTGCTCTGTGTGTGTGTGTGTGTGTGTGTGTGTGTGTGTGTGTGTGTGTGTCAGTGCGTCTGTCTCCACTAGAATTCTGTTTCCGTCTCCCATTTTTGGCAACTGGAATCCACGGAGGAAACAGCTCAGTCCCCTCCATTGGTCCCCACCGTTTTCTCTCTGGGTGGGACCCTAGAGACTTCACTCTTCCCTCACTGGTCAGGATTTTGGCCAAGGGCTACTTGGACATCCTGTGTCCCCGCCTTCTCCCTCCTGATTGGTCTCAGGGGCCGGTGCTCGTCCCCATTGGCTCCAGGGACCAATCCTGCTGAAGACCTAGTCTAAGTGCCAGGTGCTGCAGCAGGAGGGACTGTGGGTGGCTAAGGGACATCGCCGTCTGGCTGACATCGCCGTCTGGCTCCCCCTCCAGGGCGACTCGGGAGGCCCGCTGGTGTGCGACGGCCTGCTCCAGGGCATCACGTCGTGGGGCTCGGACCCCTGCGGGCGGCCCGAGAGACCTGGTGTCTACACCAACCTCTGCCGCTACCTGGACTGGATCAAGAAGACCATGGGAAAGAGGGGATGATCCTGGGGGGACCCCGGGCCTCCTTTAATAAACTCACGAGACTGGCTGGCTTCTTGCTTGTCTGTGCTTTGCCTGCCGGGGAGGGGGAGGTGCTGCCCCCTGCTGGCGGGCTTGGCGGGAGAGCTGCGGAGACTTGGACCCCTTGGCTACTCTGGCCATCCCACTGCCTGAAGTGACTCCCCACTCGCAAGGACTTGGGTGAGTGGGAACATTTTTCAGGAGAGAAAAGACGTTCAAAATTTTTCAATATCCAGGAGGCTGATGTGAAAGATAGTCTTGAAAGTTTTTTCCCCATATTTTTATTGGTGTATTACAATTGTACATAATGATGGGATTTGTTGTTAACATATTCCTACATACCCACAAGATGACAATATATTTTGGCCAGCGTCACTCCCAGCACTTCGCCCCTCCCTACCCACCTCTCACCCTCAGTCTCTTTCTCCTACTTTCTCCCTTTGATTTTTATGAGATCCGCCCCCAACTTTCTTTTCCTTTTTCCTAGCTTCCACATATGAGAGCAAATATATGTCCCTTTAAAGGGTTTCATTTAGCTGTAATCATTGTTGTTCTTGAGCAGCTAAAGTGTTGTAAGCTTTGGGGAGATTTTTTTTTTTCAATTGTGAAGTCTGCATAGAGAAGAGAACAGGTATTTACAAATGACACCTGTGGAACTAGCAAAAAAATATTCCTGTTAGCCCCCATATCCTAGAAATCCTTCTCACAACCTAGAGTTGTCTTGGGGCATCTGCCATGACTGTAGGAAATGACATGTGTCCAAATTGAAATGTGGAGTATTGCACCTTTGGGGAACTGTTCATTAGAGAAAAACACATAAATTGTCTTAGGAGGGCTGGGGTGTGGCTCAGTGGCAGAGCACTTGCCTGACATGTGTGAGGCCTCGGGTTCCATCCTGAGCATCTGGAAAAATAAATAAATAAACATTTTCTTAGGGAAAGGTGGGGGGTACATAGTGTGAGGACATAAATAGTAACTGTCCTAGGATTTCAGACTATTCTTATAAAAGAGAATTTGACTGGTCCAGCTCACCTTTTCTCCTTTAGCCACAGCATAGGTCACTGAGTGACCATTTGTTTGCGTTCTGGTCAGGTAACCAGTCCTATCCAATGGGTGGCTATGTGGAGTCACATGGTAGGAAACTTGGCCACTCAGGGCTGTTGGAAGGCCATTCTCCACTAGGGCTATGGGTGTTTGAGATGTCTTGCTCACAGCAGTCTCCAAATCTGATTGGTCCAGCTTGAATTGGCCCCACCCCTTGGGCCCATCATTATTGTTAAAGGTCAAGTGTGGGACTCCTTGGCTTGGCCTGAGTCCTTCCTGTGGCCCAGTGGGCCGCTGGGATTGGGGACCTATGATTGACAGTGTTTCCAGAATTACAGGGAATGAGGGAGCAACTCCTCAAGGGAGAAGGGAATCCAGAAAGTCAGAAACAATGGGCCATCAAACCACAGGCTGAGTCAGGAGGTGCTAGAGTCACAGTGTCCAGGGTCCCTCGGGGCAGGATGGTCAGATGCCAGTTCTCATGTGATCATGTGCTGCAGGATGAGTCACCAGACAGAGGTTCAGGACATGGGTCAGAGGGCGGGAGGTATGAGGCCAGGTGTCTGGGTGGACTTAGCAACAGGTGTTGGGACTAACCCTGAAGGGCACAGGGGGCTCTAACCCATGTGGGGGCATGCATCTCTATCAGGCCCAGGGCTTCTGAATCTGTTTTGAAAGCAGAGAGACTCAAGATGTTTGAGGGTGGAACAGGGAACTTTCCTTTTCAGAGTATGCATCTGTGCAGTAGGGATACCGTGGGCTCTTCAATCCCTGACAGTCAAATTCTGACACTTGCTCCTTCAGCGTGCTACTTTGCCCAGGGGATCTGACCTCTTAAACTTCCATTTCCTCATTTGTAAAATGAAGATGTCAATCATCACTTGGGCCGGATAGAGATAAGAATAGAGATAAGATCTGAGAACACTGAACACGCCCCCTGTAGGTAGAGCTGAGTGGCAACCTGCTTCCTTCCCTGGAGGTGGATCACGGGAGCTGATACTAACTTGGAGCCTGCTGGGTAGCTGTCAACTTCCCATCATTTTTATATAATCCTCCCAGTTGGCTCGAGAAGTAAGCTCTGCGGGTCCCCGCCTTAGAGAAGGGAAGTATGAGACTCAGGTAAGAGAAGTCACTTACCTGAAGTTGCAGGGTGGGCAACAGGGACTCAAACCTGGGCTGGACTGATTTGTGAGCCACATTCTTTCTATGATACCCTGAGGCAGAATGGCTCAGAGATCAAGGGAGGCCTGAGCACAAAGGCAGTGGATTTGTGGGTGCCAGAGGCTTGCAAACTAGTGTTTGTGTAAGTCCCTCCTATCTTTTCTGGTCTGGGCTAGGTGCTAAAGAAAACAACAGAGTGCCTCTGCTCCTGAAGACCAGCATTTAGCAACAAAGCCAGACTAAATAATTAAGGCCACAGCTTCCAGGGTGACAGGTCTGCCAACCACATCTGGTGATTTAGGGATGGATGACAGGGCTCCCCGCCAACATAGCACCTTTCCTTTGCTGAGGAGGCAGGGAACCGAGGGATGAGAGGATCTGGGATGAACATGTGGGCAGGAGATAGCATCCCGCGAGTCTTGCTAAAACTCCTCTATTTGAGAAGCCAGGAAGGAAAGATTCAGGTGCTGGGTCATGGGGCTGTGACCTCACATGGCCCAGGGTCTGCCTGCGTTTGTTTTGGGAGCTCAAATCAGGAAGGTTGATGCTCCCCAAGGCCAGGGCCCTGCTGTGCAGTGGGCAAGGCCAAGGGCCCAGTTCTGGAATCTGCTGTTGGATTTGACGGGAGTCAACATCTCAGGGCTAATGAATTAGCCTGAACTGAATTAGCCCAGCACCCCCGTCAGAACCGAGTTAGTTGGCAGAGTTTATTTTCAAGTTTGTGTTTAATGAAGGGTCAGTTGAAGAAGTGACAGTGGAGTTTGGGGAGAAGTTGGAATAGAATTGAGGGTAGGAATTGGGTTGGAGATGAGAATCACGGTGGGACTGGGGTCAGGGTGTTGGGACTGGTGTGGGATGGCAGCTGGGTGGATCTGTGGGGAGGACATCAAGTGGGCTCCCTGCCGCCAAGGCAGACACTGAAGTCTGAGTTGTACGTGGGGCAGGTCTGGGGTTGAGGCTACGGTGATACTCGGTATTTGGGTCAAGGCTGAGTTTGGCTTATGGTTAGGGGAGATCCAGGGTCAAGGTTATTGAGGTCTGGGTTCTGGCCTGTATGGATATTTGAAGTCAGGAACTCAAGTCAGGGTTGAAGTTCTGGGTTCAGGTAGAAATTGGGGTTGTCAAGGATGAGCAGAATTTGGTGTTACGATTGTGTACCAGTCAAGGTTTGGAGTTCAGCCCAGGGCTAGTGTGAAGATTGGTGTTGGCTGGCATTAGGGTTAACCTTGAAGCTGGCGTCCCAGCTCTTTCTGCCTCTGTCAGAAGCAGCTGGCCACACCAGCCATGCCCCTCCTCCATCAGCACCCTCGAGAGGCCACAGCCTTGACACCCTCCACCCTGCACACATCTGTTGTTGGCTTGGACCTGTTGATTTTCTCTCCTAAGCATAACTTGAATCCATGCACTTACCATCATCTCCACCTCCCAATGTCCTTGTCCAAGTCACCAACGTCCCTTCCCTAGACAAGAGCAATGACTTCCTCATAGTCTCCCAGGGTCTTCTCATCCCCCAAATACAGCAGCCAGGGTGACGTTTTGGAAATACAGGTCTTGTTATGCTATTCTCCTCACTAAAGTCCAAGTCATTCTTCATTGTCTGCAGGATAAAGTGGGACTCACTGCAACACACAAGGCTCCTCGGGGCCTGTCCCCATCGGCCTCTGGCTCTGGGCTGCATCCACACCTCGGCCAGCACAGGGCCCTTGCACCTGTCACTTTCTTTGCACAGTGTGTCCTCCTTGCTCCGCCCATAAACTTCCAGTCAACGCTTGCTGTTCTTTCAACTCTGAGCTCATTGTCAAAATTCCCTGATGTGCTTTCACGATACCCCGTCCTTTTCCTTCAGAGCATACCATATTTTACATTTGCTTATTCTGAATTATTTGAGGTTGTTCTTTTGGAGGAGACCCACAGCTCCTTGAGGAAAAGGGCTCTATCCCGATCTGTGCAGGTGCCCTCAGTGTTAAGGGCCAGGCTATATGGGCAATGACCAAACAGACTCCATTTTTACCCTGAGACTCCATAGCATGTCAGAAATGCTTCTCCCGTGGGAAAGCCCCGCCTCTGTACCCATTACTAGTTGCCTAGCAAGCATACTTGGCAACACAAAGTAGCAATTCTTATAGGACGTAAAATCCCTCTCTTTGGTTCCCATTTTCCTTGGGCAGTGTACCTTATTGGGGAATAATTGATTAGACGTTAGTAGCCATCCTTTAACTTGTACTCGACTAGGGTCACTTTGATCCATTTCTCTTTTGATTATGATTATGGAAAATCCTATGAGAAATACTGAAATAGAGTGAAAATACAATTAAGGACATTGCATTGTTTGGTTAATGGTGTCATTTAGCTCCTGGACTCCTGCCTGCTTGCTTGCTTGCTGGTTGCTATGTCAACCTGAATGTGGGTTTTGCGGTTTTTGCCTTTAAATATCCTAAAATGTTGAGGCTCGAGGCTGTCTTCCTGCAGAGATAGCTTGGTCCTGTAGGAAGCAGTCTCTGCCGGTCCAACAATAAAGACTCTTCAATTTGGACAAAACGGGGACTTGGTGTGTTTTCAGAGTGACCTGCCCCACAGTACTCAGCACCTACCCCTTCTGGCACAGCCCTGCCTGTTACGTGTTGTTAAGTGCGTGAAGGACGGGGCCTCTGTGGACAGGGGAAGAAGGCTGGAGGAAGGGTTGGGTTTGGTGACTACAGTGGCTTCCAGATAGGGATTCAAATGGGCACTGGATTTGGATTCATGGCTCCGGCTCAAGATCTGGTATCTGAGTTGGGATTTACAGGAACACTGAGGTGTCAGTAAGGATGAACTTGACTACAAGGACCAAAGGACTTGGACCCCCACAGGAAGCCTGGAAAAGCCATGTGATGATGGGGCTGCACAGCTGGCGGATTGCCACCCCAGCGATGGCATGGAAGACCCAGCCGATGACCTGTGGGCTCCGGCAGTGTTTTGGCTTAATCCTCTGCCCACTTCTCCTCCTGGTCCGCTCACGCAGTTCCAGAATCTGCATTCAGAAGAGACACCATGGGTAAATAAAGAAACTTCCAGTGTTGTCTTTGGGAAAATTAGGACATCTTTCTCAAAAAAGTTGGGGGGGGGGTCTTCTCACTCCTTATTGGCTAAGACCATATCACATATCAATTTTAAACCAATCAGCAGCAAGCATCATGTGGTTTCCATACTTGGATCCTCCAGGATTATG